GCACGGGACTAGGGCTACAATGACTTTACCCTTGAGACAAGCATCTTGCATGCAGCGAGGCGCTGAGGTGCTGCTCTACCTGAGCATGGGCTTCCAAAAGACAGGCCAGTACTTCATGAGTGTGTTCTGGAGGCTAGTGGCAAATCCTACAATTCAGTTAAAGTACTCCCTTCTCCCTAGGAAGGGGGTGGGGGCTATGATCTCTGCTCCTGTGCAACAGTCAGGATCCACTCTGCTCTTCCATAGGAACCAGTAAACCCTGCCATTACAGTGCTATAAACAATAAAAGCACATTGCTTGTGTACACTGAAGTCTAATGCATTTGTGTTAAGTGGGTTTTAAGGCCTTTGCTCCACTCTGGGTTCACCAGGGTGCCTGGGATTCACTTTTCTAGCATCACATTACTATTGCACAAAACAATGTGATATGAATGTCTGTTTCATTTATGACCGTGGACCAGTTTCTGCTGGGCTGGGGATGAGGGACAGCTTGTCCAGTCTCAGGACACCTACACAAGCATCCTGGTTGGTTAAGTGGTCTGTGCACCATGTTGTTCTAGCTCTGACAAGGCTCAAGTTCTTTCCAGAGCAGTGACAGCTAAAGCAGAAATAAGCAAAGCCCTTTCCAAACTTTGCAGGTGTCACCCATAGAATATCTCAAGCTGTTTACAGGATTTCCAGAGTCACAGACCAAGGCTGGTTGTGGCACTGTGAGAAAGGGCTAGCAGAGTCCTCCAAGTTTTTGTCACATAAGAAGGTATGATGTTGACTGGGATGGTATGAGAGGAATTATGGAAGAGGCCTGAATGCGGTAACTAACACCTCATGGTGGCCAGTCTTAATAGGCTCATTCTCGTGGGGTAACACAAGAGAATGCAGGCCAAGTATGAAGTGTTCTGCATTTCCAGGAAGAGCATGTGGGGATAGGAGAGTCCTAGAGCTCCCGCTCCTGGAGTTCAGGCTGGACCCTGAGTTCAAAGGCTAGAAACCATGACATCCTGCAAGCCTCTGCTAAATGGCTAGGGTGGGCTATGGCTCTGTGCTGATGTTTGCAAGGCTGTCACTCTTTCTCAGCTAGTTCACCTCTAAAGCTGGAATGCTATTAGGAATGTGGGATATCTCACTCAGTCTTCCAACCCACAGGCTGAAGACTGCTGATCACAAGAGTCCAGATGCCCCTGAGCCAGTAATTTGCAACAATTTGATAATATTGGAGCTCCTCTCTCACCCTGGCATTGTCTCTGGCAAAGCTTGACTGAGAGGATCCACTGAGAGGATTGTCCTAGGCCTGACACCTGGCCTTGCCACATGTCAATTTCATCTATGTGGGAACCCCTTATTGTGTCACTACAAACATTCCTAGCCTGATTTCTAGGACCACAGGCCTACCTCTCCCTTCGCTAGTAGCTCTCCTTGACCTTGGCTGTCCATCCTAACCCAGGCTTCTGTGAGGCCTTTTCCCCACCCCAAATGATGGCACTGTTCATCCCAGGAGTCTGCCTCCTCCTGAGCTACTCACTCCCTGTAATGGCTGTAAGAGGAATCCAGAGTCCTTGTCTTTGTGACAAACGCGGGCAAGTCTCATTTATTCTTTGCTCTGTATCACCCTGTCTCCTAGCACTGCAGGTTTGGCCTGGTTACTCCAGGATGTGACCCAGAAAGGGATCCTGGGTGTTGGGTACCTAGAGAGCACACCCAGGACTGCACTGTGAGAAGGTACTGTGGCTTGACAGACTATTTGTAATGACTGCAGGTCCAGGGGCTCCACAGGTAACTGGAGGGATAGAACTAAGTGTGGACATGGGGAAGAACACAGAACTAACCATTCTTTTTAAAAAAATTTTTAATTGTATGAATATGAGTGTATTCACCTGCATGTATGTAAGTGCACCCATGTCACGCAGTGCCCATGGAGGTCAGAAAAGGGTGTTGGATCCCTTGGAACTGGAGTTACAGATGGCTGTTAGCCACCATGTGGGTGCTGGGAATTGAATCCAGGTCCTCTGCAAGAGCAGCCAGTGCTCTTAACTGCTAAGCCAGCTCTCCAGCCCCAGAGCTGACCATTCTTGAAGTTGGTGTGAATGAAACAAGATGAACAGTATCTGTTACTTCCACATGAAGTTTCCAACCCACTATGATACCCCCAGAGCTCCCTTCCACCTCTGCAGTGACCCAGGAGCCCCAGCACAGTGGGCTCCTAAAGCACTACTCTGGGTTTCTCCCTCATCCCCACTGCAAAGCAGAGAGAGATATTTCCTTCCACTGTACTGAGCCAGTGAGCTTTAAGGACCATTTGTTACTGCAGCTGAACTAACTCAAAAGTGCAGACTTCTCAACATCCATGCTCCCAGTCCCAGTAGGGACAAAAGCCTGTTTACTAGGTACATGTCTACTGCTGCTTTGGGACTGCAATGGTGGTGTTGAGTAATGACAGCAGAAACTGGATGGCCTTCAAGAAGGTAAATACTTACTATTTGGCTCTTCACAGAGGTTTGCTGACCCTTGACCAAATCCATCTTGGCTGATGCAATCAAAATACAAGATAAAGTGAGAAGAAAAACTATCAAATATAATTTAAAATTTTTTTGTTATTTTATGTGTATGAGTGCTATTATGCCTGCATGTATGTAAGTGTACCCACGTCATACAATGCCCAAAGAAGACAGAAGAGAGCATTGGCTCCTCTGGAACTATAGTTATGGATCATTGTTAGCTGCCATGTGAGTACTTGGATTTGAACCCGGGTCCTCTGCAACAGCAGTCAGTGCTCTTAACCACTGAGCCATCCTCTAGCCCCTCAAATATAATTTTATACTAGCTGTAACAATGCGGGCAAGTTAGTTAATATTTCTACAATCTTTTAGTTACCTGGTATGTAAAGAGGCTATGAAGACAGTATCTACCTAATAAGGTTGCTGTAAGAATTAAATGAATTCTTATTTATGGAGACAGATCTCAGACTGTAAGCTAAGCTGATTTGGAACTGGTGATGCAACCCAGACAGAATTCAAACTTGTGGCTTCCTCCTGCCTCAGATTCTGAAGTAACTGGAATACAAAAGCGAGCCACCCTACCCTGTTAAATAAATGAAATCTTTTGTGTAAAACACTCAGGATCTGGCGGCAACTTGTGAGGTGAACCCGAACGCTGGAGTAGCCAGAAGTACAGGGTTGCATACAATTTTGTGTAAAACACTCAGGATCTGGCGGCAACTTGTGAGGTGAACCCGAATGCTGGAGTAGCCAGAAGTACAGGGTTGCATACAGACAGGAAATTCCTGACGCAAGAACCTCAGACACTGTAGGCCTTTATTTAAGGTGCTCACAGCTTTT